CCCCCCCCCCTTTGTGACTCTCCCTGTTCTCTTATGTTGCGAGAACCTTTATCCCCCCGTCATTGATCCAGCTCTCTCAGATCCACGCCAGTCTCCAGAGGACAATTGATTTCAGATTTGAGGATTTTGCTGATTTGATTGTGTGGTTGTGTTACCTGTTATCTCTCTGCCTTGTTTGGCCCGGGATCGGTTTCCCCCGTCCGTCCGGAGGTGATCCTAAGGAACTGAGGAAATGCTTAGCAGGAGCGTTTCCCCTTTTCCTCGTTGTCACCGCTGATGTCGATGCGTCGTCTGGAAATAATCACCTCCAGATCCTGGCGTGACAGATTTGAAAACAAACAAACCCAATGTTACTTATTTTGTACGTTTTCTTTTTCTACTTGTTGATTCTTCTGATTCATGATGAAATGTGATGGGCGTCTCAATAAAGACATTTTCTGGAGATAACTCAATGTTTGTGTCTTGTTAATGTCAGTCATGATCTCACTGAAGCTCCCACAGCTTGTTAGAGGGTAAACATAAAAAGAGGAAAGATTTGAGTGCCAGCATTGAGACAATAAATATTCGGAGCACTGTCAAAGCTGGGCAACAGTAAACACGGTGGAAAGCATTTTTATACCCCATCATATCCCATCCAGAACAACAGTAATTTTAGTAGCAGCACTAATGCATCCCTAATTTAGACTCAGTTTATAAGCAGCATAAATACAGTGTACAGGACATCTGAGGCCCCGAGCAAAACTTGCAATTAAAATAAGCATTATAAGAAATGTTGTTTTAAAATGTATTCTGCTGGCGTAGGAAATTAACATATATTGTCCTCAGATAAATGTTGCCATGAGATAAAGAGCTTCTATTGTTTCTTCTTTATTTCTGGGAGAAAAGCTTTGGAGCGAGGCTCTTCTAAATCCACAGGCACAAATGGGAATCTATAGAGCTCTGATCTTTATGGGTTTATAGAGATAGAAAGTTGGTGGGGATTTATTCATTTTATGTTAAGCCAAAGAGAAAAATCTGTAATCTAGATTGTCGGCATATCGTTTGTTTGAAGCGTAGCGTCAGAACTGTAACCAGCACGTTTAGCGCTGCTTTTACAGCCGTGACTATGAAACATCTGAAAATCTCAAGTGTGGCAGAGCTAAGATCACAACAAGCTGTGCGATGAAACTCCCACAGAGGCTCTTATTTGTAATTAAAGCATCTTATAGCAAAGCGGGGACATTTTCAGACTCTCGTTTCTAGTTTTGTGGCCTTGCAGGGGGAGAAAATGAGACACTTTGTTCTCGAGTTGGTTGTTCCATCGAGTAATAGGTCTCTGTTGCACAGTAGCTCTTTGATTATCATCATTTCACTCCGTCTATGGGACTCGGAGCTGCCTCGATGCTGTCATGCAAACCCTGAACACATATCGCTGCTGTTTACCATCTGGCAGCGGTACAGATGTTTACTTTCAACTTCTCCCTTTACAGTACAACCATCACAAAGAATTAATACACTCTCTAGATTATGATGACGTCAATTAAAGAGCTTTGATCAGAACCCCCCATCCTGCCACCCCGCTGCTGTCCTGACTGAAATACCTCTAACTGTTCAAATGTGGTGCAGACACACTGTAATGGTTCACAAAGCCACTGCAAGAGGGTGTGCAGGCCGACAGGAGAGAAACATGGAGCAAAATTAAATTCATACGATTTAATTACTAACTGACAGAAAGTTGTGGGTTGAGGGGTACAACTTTCTTGACTTCAGGAGGATGTTTGCCATCTTCTTGTGACCCCTTAAAACAAAGCTTGTACACTTGTTGCCTTAACCTCCTAGGACCTGGCGTCCACATATGTGGACATCACATTTTGGGATGTCTAGACCAAAATAATACATTTTGCTCCACAAGGGCCTGATATCCAGTTACAAGGACATTATACTGCCACTGTTCAACTGAAATTTAAAACGAATGTCCTCCTATGTGGATCTCATTTCTCTCAGAAACAAAAATCAGGTAAAATCTGGAAATTCTTTGTTTTTACATTCATCAGGTCCCAACGTGCCCAAATATCAAAGAGAAATTAAAAATGCTGCCATGAAAGAGTTCGGGACTTAGGAGGTTAAGAGATGTTTGACCAAAAGCAAATCAGTGTGGTTCTGCAGCCACCTTTAGCAGCAATAACTTGAATTGTTTTCTGTACGACTTTATCAGTCTTCCACATCATTGCGCAGGAATCTTGGCCCGCTGGTCTTTACAGCGTTGCAGGAACTGAGGTTTGCAGGAACAAGGTCCCGGTGAGGTCTGGATAACACTCGGTCGCTGCAGCACCTTTGCAGCTATTCTGTTGTAGATTTACTGCTGTGCTTTTTCTGTTGCATGAACATATTTCAGCCAAGCCGCTGCTGTTTGTGTTCGACTCAATAACTGTAAAGTGTCCAGTTTCTGTGGCTGCAAAACGAACCCAAATCATCACGCCTCCACCACTGTGCTCGACAGCTGGCGTGCTGCGTTTGGTTTCCTGCAAACGTGGTGCTGTGCGTTATTGTCGAGCATTTCCTTTTTGCTCTTGTATGTTCAAAGACACTGGCACCAAATAAGGTCTACTGTTGAGTAAAACTTGCTTGTGCAGATGAGATTACTCGCCTGTCTGTGTGTGCAGATGTTTCCCCGGGGGTCCAGTAGAGGCCATGGGTCACATGAGTGTGGGGAATTCCTGTACATGGGGTTCGGAGTGTTTTCATAATGGCGCTAATTAAGATTAAAATATATAATATTTAATTAGAAATAGAATATTAGAAAGTGTGTGTTGTGTTGCAGTTGGAAGGCTTGACTTGCCTTTAATTGTCCAGTTATTTTGCTTCCACCGTACTCTGCCTCAGCCTTCATCACCACTCATAGTCCAGTGGCAAAGGCCAACCTTGTGGTCTGTGGTTTGTGCAACTTTGCTTTCTAAATGTATTGTCATGAACTTTAAGGTGCTAATGGAGGCCCGTAGGGATTGGCATGCAGTCTTTGGGTTTGTTTCAATTTCCCTGACCACTGCACAGGATGTTCACTTCTGGTACGACTGGCAGCTGTCTTGAATGTTTCCCACTTGTGAATAATCTTTCTCACGGCAGAATGATGGACCAGATTGTTTGAAAATGGACTTATGACCTTTTTCAGATTGATCGGCAGCAAGAATTGCTTTTCTTAGATCACTGCTGGTGTATTTCCTCCTGGGCATCGAGTTAACACACACCTGAATGCTTCAGACCTGCAAACTGCTAAAACTTCTGCTTATGATCAGTTGATCAAATGCATTTAATTAGCAGCGCCTGGCTGCAGCGCAGCTTCTCAGTTCCTATGGAAGCAGTAAGGATGTATGTAGTTTTTCCACAGGACTGCACTTTCATTACTTGAAAACTTGTTTTGTTTTGTTTTTGCACAGCTGTAGTGTGGCATTTTTAGTGTGGAACTGCTCATTATTAGGAAAACCATTCAGTTCACCTGCAACACTAACAAGATCTCCACTGACCTCAGCTGCACATAAGGTTTTAGTCCTTAAAGTTAACAGGTTAGCAGATTACACTCAGGATGTAAGATAAGATAAGATAGAACTTTATTAATCCCACGGGTGGGTTCCTCTGGGAAATTCGACTTCCAAAAAAAAAGCACAGCAACGACCGAAGTTACAGTTACAGAATTGTTATATATATATATATACACACACACACACATATATAAATACAGAGACAAATATAAATAAAATATACAAAGGGTTGTGATTCTTTCTGAGCATCATGTTGGCGCTCCAGCTTTAAGCATGTAAGCATTGCACTTGTAGCATGATGGCAGACACCTCTGAGGGATAGATCTGCACAAAAATGACTAATTACTAATAAAACTATCTCAAAATTTGCCTAAAAATGCTTGAATGAGTCACAGAGTATCACTGTGTGATATTCATTATGAACATAATCCCACATATACCATGCTGGTGATGGAAGCGCTCTCTGGAGCACCAGTGGTTATTCATTCCTAGCTGTTTGTGAGGCTGAGAAACCGCGCTAACGTTAACGCGCTAGCGCCGTCCAGCCCCAAGCACGGGGCGATTCGCGTTAACTCGCTATCGAAGATTTGCCGCGTTAATCCGGTTATTGCGTTAACGTCAATTTAACAAGATTAACGCTGCAGCACTAATATATATATATATATATATATATATATATATTGCTCTACAGTGTTTACCTATTTGGGGTAAATAGCTGAGTCTTTGTACAAAGACTGAAACTAGACGTCTGTTGAAGATGTAACCTCTGAGTGGCACAGGCAGTAACCATTAGGTCCCTCTATTGAGAAACAGGCTCTTTTTATCGGGCCTGTTGGTCATGAGAGAGAATATAAAATAACCTCAGCTTTATTCTTTGAGAAAAATAAAGAGCCAGCTGAAATAACCCAAAGCAACATTTCAGAGAGGACAACATAAGCTGACCTAAATGAATGAGCCATCGATTTGCTGTGCTGTGTTTATGTAGTTAATCCGGCTGGCATTCCCGTGTCTGCTTTTCTCTCTTTGCTCTCTCGCACCTGCCCCCTATTTCTCTCTCTCTGCATCTCCTGACATTTGGAGGGGAACAGATGGAGATTGTGGCTGGGTCGGTCAAGCCAGAGGCAGCAAAGGAGATGGGATTTTTTTATCACCAGGGGCCCGGTGAAGGGTACAACGAATGGCCAGCTGCCCCCTGTCTCCCCTGACGCGCACCCCAGTGCTAGGCTGGTGACCCAGTCGGAGCAGGGACACTGGGCTCGGGCACTTTCTTGCAAAGTTTTTCATATTATGACACGTTTTCTTGTCTCTAGCTCTGTCACAGATCTCTGACCTCACTTCCCCCGCATGTGCTCTTTAACACTGCAAGCCAAGGTAGCCTGAGCTGCAGTGAGACAGCAATTATCCACCTCAGACGATGCTGATGCATGTGAGTGGACCTCTTTGGCTGCATGGGCTGAAGTGCACTAAGGTAATCACTTCTTGCTTTGCCTTGTCATTTTGCAATAATTGCAATTTCTCTCTATTTAGGCCTTTTCAGTCCCTTGCCCTTTAACTGTGCAGTCGGTGGGAGTCTGAGATCTGCAGGGCAAAGTGAACATCTGTATAGAGGCTCTTGTTACCAGAGCAGTTAACCAGACAGATGTTACGATGCCCTGTGTATGTTCAGTGTGTGAACCCGAGAGGTTTGTATAGAAGGAGAGAGTAAGAGGACATTAGCAGAAGCAAGCTGTTCCTCCTGACATACTCACCCCAAGTTGCGTCTGCGCCTTGTCACCTTGGAAACTTGGTCTCAGCTCAGCTTGGCAAGCCTTAAATCACTCTCCACTCTTGCAGACTTGTGGCTGGTGCTGTGAATATGGCTCCATTCGATCAGCCCCCCTCTCCTGCTGCATTGTCTCACACTGTGGTCGAGAGCAGCCTTCTTTTCTCAGGGTAAGGAGGAGCTTTGCGGGGCTCCTTCACTTTCTTTGTGTTTTCAGAGAGTCTGTGATGTGGGTAAGGTGGAGGCTTGCGACCTCTGTGGCCTTGTGCTGCGGCGCATACGTGTGACGGTCCCGCTGAGGATGCTTGCCTCTCCGTGTTAGCGGCAAACCCGGTTCCAGTCTCTGAGTCGGTGGGTGGGCAGCTGGCAGACGGCAGCAGGTTGGACGATGGAGAGAGCGGCCCAGCAGATGGGAGATCGCTTTGTGTGGTCTGATAAGACCCCACTTTGGTCTGGATGATGACAGACGGGCTAAGAGCAGGGGGTGGGTTAGCCTTTGAAGACAGGGGAGAGGGAGGTGAGATGGGGCTGATCCTGATGGAGGAGGTAGCCCCAGGGGAGTGAGGCTGAGAACCAGAGCTACTGGGGAGATGGAAGTTTACCGTTAGAGGGGAAAGACCAGGAGTTGGAGGCCGAGCAGGGAGGCTTCTTTGGGGGGAGCGAGTGTGGTCGTGGGTCGTGAGGTTACTGGGGTATGGCAGCTTCCCACCGTGTTTGGGTGAGGCCCCAACACTACCGGTGAGGTGAAGAGTCCGACTCCTCTCCGATAAAAGTCCAGAGGTTAGCGGGCGCAGCTGCACATTGGGTGGAGACTGGCTCCTGCTATGATGCTCTCCCCTCAGGGTGCCAGATAAATACCCAGTTTCTGGCTGGTTTGCAGGCTCTGACAGCCTCTGATGTGTGAAGCCCACAGTTGTTTCACTGGAGCTCGAGCCTGAACTGTAGCTGCTGTCGCTGGGAGGTTTGGTGCTTTCTCTTCCAGTTCCCTCCTCCTCCTCCTCCTCCTCCTCGTCATTCAGATCAATGGTTGATGTTAGATGGTCAATCTGCTGCACCACCTAGAAAATACACGATTGACAGATAAAGATAGAGTCAGTAAGTGAAGTTTTCCTCCAGTTTCTGTGATTGAAAAATGTCTTCTATAGTTTTTGTTTGCTTTGGGTTTTGGTGCCACTGCTCCAAGAAAGAGGATGCAGGACCTGATGGCGAGGTTCCCCTTTAGAGAAACACATATCAGCAGACTGATCAAATGTTGCACACACAGAGTAAAACACTGAGCTTTTTGGGAGTTGCCACTCTGCTTGGCTGCTGGTCCAGCTCTGTGTGCTGAATGAAAAGAGAGGCGATAGATTGAGAACAGAGCTCTCCATTGTTTCCTTATACAGATCGGTTCACCTCTGGCAGTGAGTAACAGCCTGTGAAAACAGATGATGTCATGGTGATGTCATCAGAGTAATCTTAGACTAAACTCAAAGAGTTTTTGAGCTTTGTCAGAAAGCCTCTGTTACCGGGCAGAGAGGGTTTAATCAAAGACACCACGAGCTGCATTTTCACTTTAACGCTATCAGTGTAGCACCATCCTCTGTTTAACCTGTCTCTTGTGAGTCACTCGTTTTGTAAAAGTGCTGCAATACATAATTTATTATAGAGATAATAACACACTAGAAAAATAACACTTGCATCTCCAAATTGCTGCTTTTTCTTCTCCATAAATTCTGCATAATTGACCACCGAGAGTCAAACTCCTAAAGCAAATCTCTCGATAGCAGCACAAATTTGAGTGCAGCTGGAAACAGTTAATATTTGGCATTATGTATGATAGATATTTTAACAAATCACACTTAACAACTATTGGCTTAAATTTGATCATTTCCTCAGTTAGCTGACAAGAGGAAATATTCTTTGCCTGGACAGCAGCGCTGAAGCGAAGGGAAGAAGGGGAAAGATTCATAATTCCACAAAGATCTGAATTTCAGCTGGGAAACTGTGTTTAAATGCTTATCAGCTTGATCCCCTAATCCACCAGGATGTGAAACGCTAACGCCGGCGTTTCTGCTTCCTCAGGAATTAAGAGGTAAATAGCAGCCAGTACGTCTCATATACACGTCATTATTTTATCATCAGCAAGTTTGAGCACCTCTATAAATATGCACAAATAGCACCTCTATATGTGTCGAACACAATGCTCCAATCTTTCCGGAAGCAGAGGTCAGACTGTGCAATGCTCAGAGAAACTGCAAAGAACCCAAGAGCTACTTCTCAGAGCCTACAGGCCTCAGCTAGCATGTTGCCACAAAACTCCGGGAACAAATTTCTTTGGACAGACAAAACCAAAGTGGAGATGTTTGACCATAGTGCACCAACCCCTCTCATACCATCTGTCAGCACGGTGGTGGCAGGGTGATGATTTTGGTTTTGCAGATCTGGGCACCTTGCAGTCATTGAGTCCACTGTGAACTCCTCCGTATACCAAAGTATTCTTGAGTAAATGTGAGGCCATCTGTCCGACAGCTACAGCTTGGCTGAAATCGAATCACGCGAGGGGCCAGTGATCCCAAGCGCAGCGTCAAATCTGCCACAGACCTCAGATCTCATCCAAAATTGAGACACTGGCAGGAGCTTAACAGAGCTGTACAAAGATGAATTCCTGCAAACCTCAAATAAATGTTTCATAACATACAGAACTAAGTTAAAGCAGCGCAGCTCAGTCTGGTAAAACAAATCAGATTTGTCCTGCCAGTTTAGTAAAAATCAGACGAGGCACACGCGCACGTATCCAAGTGCGTGCAGAGCATCCACACACACAACCCACACAACAAGACTAGAAGAAACAGCCACACACACAGCCATACATAGATGGAAGAGATTGGAGGAAATTACTCTGGGGAAAATGCTTGACCCATCACGCCACCTGCTCAATGTGCACAGATAAATCCTCGGTCCGTGCTGGATTGTTTTGTTCGCCGTGTTCAATATCCTTGCTGATGTCAGTGGATGACCTGATTTGTCTCTCTGTCTTTTTTTAATGCTGGAGCTGTTTGAGCGAGGCATTTCATATTGCTTTGAAGTACAGCGTGTATATGCACATCCAGTGACTCTGGGCAGGTGCTGCTCGTTAATGTCAGAAATCAGATGAGATAAAAGTGCAGAGGACCCTGGTTTTCATGTGCTTCCCCCAAGGGTGTTTGTTAGAAGCAGTGTGGGGGGGTTGACCCTGCAGGTCCTCCTGATGAGTACCGAGAGACGTTTGTTGTGGAGCGCCGTTATTTAAGTTGCGTTTAGCTCTTTAAGTTCAATTCTGTTGTTGTTTCTCTTGAAGTTCTGAGTCATAGTTCAGTTTTTTGATCTGCCAAAGCGCCTCAGCAGAGGATCGCTATCACATTCAAGTGCAAGCCCACTTTTGTGATGTCTTTTCCTCCTCCAGTGTGTGAGAGAGATCTTTAGAGTAATATTTGTTTAGCTTCAGACAAAGGCCTCCACTAATTTCTTTTCGTAGCCGTGATGAATATTAAACAAAGCTGAGGTTTGCTGCTCATGCAGCGGAATAAAAAACACGGCTTTGGAATAAATATGCGACCAGTCTTCTCTGGCACCTTATCTCCCTTTTCATCTGTTGTCTCTGTTGTGAAAATTTGGGACTTTTCTATTTCAGTGTCTGCTTACTCGCCCCCCTCTTTCCCTTCTTTGTGTGTGCAGTCGTTGGGGTTTTATTAATAAAGCTCACAGCCAGGATGATGAGGTTACTACCTCGGGTTTAGCTGTGACCCCACAGAGGCAGATCAAATGGCAAGAGGCAAGATTTATGTGTCACTTTTACTGTGTGAGGCAGAGAAACTCAGACATAAATGGATTATAAAAAGCGTCGGACGCAATCCAGCTGTGCCTGGAGCACATCTGTCCATAAGAAGAGCGAGTGGAGGGAGAGATCCTTCATCTCAACAACCTCTGAACGCATCAGGCAAATGGGGCATGACTAGTGTCTCATTCACCTTTATGAAAATGTGCACACGACTCGAGCTGAAGCGTGCAGACAGACGACAGAGGAAATTTGGGAAATTTTGGTGCTGCATTCATGCAAGCCGTGCTGCTGACTGTTTAATGCATGGCAAATTCTTGCTGAGGACGTGCATTTGGAGACCGGCTTGTTATTCGTCAGTGCACAGGCCCTCGAGCATGAACACTTTCAGAAAATGAATGTGAAAGGACGCAGTAACTTTTCTGTCCTGTTTTGTTTGGATTTCTCACTTCTCAGTCGCTCGAGTGAAATGTGATGATTGAGAGGGTGACGTGGCTGAATCTGACACTGAAAAAGCTTTCATCTCCTTTTTTTAGTCATAGTCGAGAAAAATATGTCATGTTACCTCTTTCATTTCCTGATGAACATCCCTCAGGGCTTTGAGAACCTGCTCCAGGTTGACCACCACCCGTTTAATTTGGTTTCGCACCACCTTCCTCCTGCAGCCGGCCTCTTTCCTCTGTGACTCCCCTTCGCTCTTTGGTCTGTGCTGGGCCCACGTCTGGTTCTGAGCCAGGAAAGCGGTGTGCTCTGAGCTCGGTCTGGGTTTCTCGGGGCCTTGTAGAGTTGTCGTACTGCTGAGCCCCCTGTGAGGAACCTCAGTGGAGAAGATAACTCCGTTTAGATCCTCCACAGGTGGCTCCCGCAGCGCTGTCAGGTCTCGTTGGCTCTGGGAGCTCCTGCTGTGTTTACTGGTGTAGCTGAAGTTGGAGCTGAATCCATGCTGCCTCTCTATTAGTCCCTGAGTGTCATAGTTCAGCCAGCTGGATGAACGGTGGCCTCTCTGACGGTGGGTGGTGTGGCTGGTGTAGTCCCACACCTTCCCCTCTTTGCCCTCCATACACATAACAACAGGCACGTTAAAGTTTGGCTCCTCAGAGAGCAGCGCAGCAACAGGAGCAGCAGGAGGTCCAAGCAGTGGCCCGTATTTCTTCACTGAGTTGCTACTGCTGTCACTCTGCGACTGATGGGGGCTCAGGTGGCTGCTGTGCTTCCTAACAAAGGTGTGGTTGCCCTGAGCAGCAGAGGAGCTGTTGGCTGGTCCCTGCGGCCCCTCCCCTGGGCTGGTCTGTGCGTTGCGGTCTGTGCCAAGCTCTTTAGTCCGGTTCCACCTGGCAGGACTGTCCTCCCTCTGCTTCCCCAGGCTCCCTGGCAGGATGTGGTGCCCCCTCAGCGCAACTGGCAGCATCCTCGCCTTCCCCACCCCATTGCACCGAAGTTCAGCCTTTTTTCCGCGGTCCTTCCCCTGGATGGAGAAAAAGCCGATCCCTTTGGCTCTCTCCAGCGGGGTCAGGTTGTTTCGGGTCTCTGAGTTGGATTTGTACGGTCCGTTGAGCCCCAGGTCGCTGCTCTGGTGAGGCTTCAAGCTATTGCGCAGCCACGGGATGAAGTGAGGGGTGTGGGACTTGAAGCCTTTCTGCTCTCCAGGCGCCGGAGCCCTGCTGTCAGAGAACATGGTGATGGATGATGTCCGGCAGCCTGGCAGAATGAAGACGAAGTAAAAGGGGAACGGGAGGACTCCTGAGACACCGAGAGCTTCCTCCTCTTCTTCCACGAATCTCCTCCTACCTTTGCCATTAACGGGCTTTATCCGCTCTGATGTTCAGTCTCGTCCCCCCTTCCCTCTCCCCTCTCTTACTCCGTCTCCAAAACTTTTATCTGCTTTTTCCCTCCTCGGCTCTAGTCCCACTCACCCCACTCCCCTTTTTCCTGGCGAAGCCTGCTTCTGATTGTATCGCCCTTCTTCTTTTCCCTCAGTTTCAGCTTCCCCTCCCACTCTTCTCTCCGCTGTAGTGCTCTTGAGCCCCTCGCCCCCTCGCTGGGCCAGCCGTGGAGATGCCGAGGGCCTCTCTCTCCCTCTGTCGTCTCTCTCTGCCTGCCTGCATCTCACTGGCTCAGTGGCAGTGGAGGCTTCCTGTCTCTACATCTCTCTCTCTCTCCCTTCCTGTCTCTCTCCCCCCCGCACTGCGCTGCACTGCCTCCTCTCCTCGCTCTTTCTTCCTCCCACTCCCTCTCACTGCTCTAACTCCCTTTCTCTGTTTCCCTCTTCTCTCCTCATCTGTGTCTCCTCTCCCTGCTGCTCTCATCTGAGAACCTCCGATCGTCCTCGTCTTTACAACTCTCGTCTCTTTCCCTCCTCTCTCCGTGTCACTATTTTTCTCCCCTTGCCCCACCTCCAATTTGCCAGGGAGAGCAGCCGAAGTTCAATCAAGACGCCAGTGTTATTAATCCCCCTTTAGTGAATGTGTGCCCACGTGATTCCCCCTGCCTCCGTTCTCATCTGATTACTCCTTCCTCGGCTCAGCCCTTCACAATTAAATGCTGCTTAGGACACCAGAGGGGGTTTAAAGGAAAAGAGGAGGATAACAGCAGAAAGGGATGAAGCAGGAATAGTAGGAGGCGGGGGGGTAGGGGGGGCACATAATTGCGACCTTCAAGATCTGAGATCAGCAGCGGTTTGACAGAAACTATAAGCTGCCTGGCTACAAACAACAGCCTGCCTGTGGCTCGGCTCTCCCCAGCTTATTGTAACTGTCAGCAAATAGTGTCACGTTACATCCCAGTTGTTTTCTTGTTTTTATTTTCTACCACACATCCAACTTCCATTTGTTCCAATTACGCAGAGACAGCTGCTATTTTCGGGTTTCTCATTTACATTCCAGTTCTTGGCTGTCTGGATTAGATTTCTTGTGTCTGACAAGCTCAGAAAAATGCCTCCTAGGTGCCTTTTCACTCAGCTGTGGCTGCATAGATGCGTCCCTCCCTCACTGGCAGCAGCCAAAATGAAAAGATGGCAGCAGAGCCACACAAAAGCCCTGACAAGTCTGCTGTCACTCAACAGTGAAACACTCAAAGCATCTGTCATTCTGTTAGTCAGCATTGCAATATACTCCTCCGGTAGTGCCCTGCTGAAACATGACTTCATTCGCTGACATATTTTACTATACAGGTACATGATGGGAGTGAAAATAGAGTCGCGGGCTCGGCGTAATCTGCAGGCTAAGAAGATTCCTGCCTGCATGTCGACAGACGGCTGTCAGCCTCTGACGGCCATTAGCCGGGATAAAAAAAAACAAAACAATAAAGCGTGCGAGCGATAGAGCCGCCGTTATTGACCTTACAGCTTCTTACTGCTCACGACATCCTGCTGCACGCAACCAAGTCCTGCTCCGCTTAACAGCTGGAGATTGCATTTTTATTGCACTGGATTTCACTGTGACACAAATGGTTAATCAGTCAGCTTTATTTGTGAACAACAAGTAATTTAAAGTGCTGTAAAGATTGATCAGAAGCACGGAGACAAACACTCACCAGCCAGTTTAGGTACGTTGGACCCTCTTTTGCCTTCGGAGGTGCCTTAACTCTTCAAAGCAAAGGTTGCTGCAGAGTTGTAGGCTCTGCATTCACCACATCCCAAAGGTGCTATATTGCTCTATTGGGTGTCACACAAAAGGCCCGGGGGCCACAATCGTCCCAGAAAAGACTCCAATCTGGCCCCCTGGGTGGCTTTGGAAAATATGAAGGGGAGCATACATTTTTGGACCTTTAACTGTATTTTTATGTGTTTTACAGCTTTTCCCACAGCCGTTCATACTACACCAAAGCAGTTCATTTAAAACTTTATGTTTTATTAATACAGTCAGGACAGGGCAAATGAAAGAACTTTTTTCTGTAATTATACACATTTCTCATGTAGAAAAACTGACACGTGCTGTTGAAATTGCACTTCTTTATCTTATATTAACACATCTCAGTGATTGAATGTGTAGTTGACCATCTTTACACTGACAGAAAGTGGAGTTTCACTCGTCCAGCCCACTTGAGATTAGAGTGGGCTTTATGTGCCCCTGGATGAGTGAAATGACTTTGACATCCCTGCTCTGTTCGACTGAGATCTGGTAGCTGTGGAGGACATTCGAGCGCCATGAAATTCACTATCGCATCATCCTGCTGGAAGCGCCCATCAGAAGATGGGTACGCTGCGATCATGAAGGGCTGGACAACAATAATACTCTGCTAGTTTTCTGCTTGATACCAAGTGGCCCAAAGTGTGCCAAGAAAGTATCCCCAACACTATTACACCACCTCTGGCAGCCTGAACCGCTGATACAAGGCAGGATGGATCCATGCTTTCATGTTGTTTACACCAAATTTTTCCCACCCAAATCCAAGGATTGCAGTGGAAACGGAGACTCGTCTTGTTCTGTCATGTACGAACTGTAGCCTCAGTTTCCTGCTGCATTCAGAGCTGCTTCTCTGCATAACTTGGCTGTAACAAGTGTTGTTTTTAGCCATCCTATCAGCTCGAATCAGTCTGACCAGTCTCTTTTGACCTCTGACATCAACAAGGCATCTTCACCCAGAGAACTGCCGCTCACTGGAAATTTTCTCTTTCTCAGATCGCACTCTGTGAACTCTACAGATGGTTGTGCAGGAAAATCCCAGCAGATCAACAGTTTCTGAAATACTCAGTCTGGCACCAACAACCAGTCGCTTAAAACACTAAATTCTTGACCGTGTCTACATGTCTAAACGCACCATGTTATTAACTTATTAACGAGCAGTTGAGGAGGTGATGTGGCTGGTAGGTGCTGGGACTGGTTCACCAAATGAATTCGTCAGCGCCACTCGGGCTCAGATGACCGCAGATAATATTTCACAGTTTATTGTGCGATGATTTAAACCTATGAAAACGAGCATGACATTTCTGGGGTTTCATGTTACATGAAGTTTGCACTAGACAGTGATGAAGTGCAGAGCAGTTTACTATTGCACATTCATTCCAATAAACTCTCTGAGTGGGTTTCTGTGTGTGTTAAAGACCTTGAATTCAGGCCTCTTCAAGGTCTCAGCTTTCCTCCAATCAACCACCCACTTTGTGAGGTCCATAAATAACATGGCAGCCAAACACACAATCATCGCTCATTTAAAGTCAATGCAGAATAAGCAGCTGTCACAGTTGCTGTCCATTTCAGGCTCGCTGGACAGCCTCTCGAGCGCGGTTGCCTTTATTCTCCCCATTATATTAATCCGCTGAATATGTGTCTGAGTGATTGAAGGACAAAAACAAAAAGGGAACGTTGTCCTTTTTTAAACAGGAGGCCTTTTTGTCACCATCGTACAGGCAGTCAGAGCATATGGTCTCCTTGTAACCTTGTCTACTGCCTCCTGCAGCGCTCCCTCGCTTGTTTTGAGTCCTGCAGCAGTCCGACTGCCCATCGAGAAGCAGCAGAGCGTGTGCGCACGGATACTTCAGCCTCCTGCATGTGTGTTTGCTAAACTTTACTGCCCCTGCACATACACCAGTGTCCTGGATGATTATTTTTTATACACACACACACTCACAGAGAGGGAGAGAGCACCAAGGAAACCTTACATAACTTGGTGGAAAAGATGGATGTAAAAGCAGTTCTTTGAAAGTCAAAGGCCCCCATGTCTGTCAAAATTTCCTGTGCAAAATGGCTTTTAGTCACAGTGTGAATGCCTCGGGGCACTTGGGAACTTTCTATAGCCACCTGGACAGCGGAAACGTGAAGTCTGGGGAGGATTAAACCTGTTCGCATGACTGTATTTGGTTCTGCATTCACACAAAGTGAAAATGAAAAGTTTCTCGAGAACACAATGTTCTTCTTTTTTTGCAGTATTAAATATGGAAGTGAGCAGATGCTGTCTTCCCTGAAGTGTCCAGTGTCGCGCTGGTGATAATCCTAAGGGGTTCCTCTTAGACTTCTGTGTGCGCATGCTCGTGTGTGTGCGTGCGTGTGTGTTTAACAGTGTCTTTCCCGTCCTCTCATGTATATTTTTGTGTTGTTTGCTTTTGGATTCCCCTCCACTGTGCTTTTCATCCTTGAACAACACGTCAGTCAGGTGCTCTCTGAGGACTAGAGCGAGAAAGGAAGAGATAGACGTGGGGACACCAAGAGAGGCAGAGAAAAGAGGCGGCAGACACGGGGAGAGGGAGGGAAAAAAGGCGAGTTTTGAAAGACTTCTAACTTCCAAGCTGACTGTCATAGTTGTGCTTGCCAGAGGGGAGAGCACCTTTAAGCATACTGGATGAGTAACGATGTGGAGGGACTACAAAAGCAAAGTAATACATAATAAGCAGCACTCGCTCGGCTCTGCTCTGCCAGCTAACCTACATGAGATTGGTGGCGAGAAAAAAATTGCAAGTGCTCAAAAGGTCAGCAAAGGCCTCGCCTAAAAGAGGCTCCTCTTTTACGAGCGTGCGCGCACTGTAATAAGATTAAGAAAGCGTGGAAGCAGTTGTTACAGTGGGATGTTGGCCTTGAGACGACAAAGCCCCACAGATAATGTTGTGTCCAAATCAAAACACGACAAACTATCTTATCTGCCGTCCGTAAGCTCTGCTGCGGGGACAACAAACCTGCAGCAAACACACGTTTCCTCCGCTGGTTTTCTTTAAAATGACACAATAAATGCTATCATCACAGAAATAGGCCGTTGATTCATTTTGCAGTTTTTTCTTCAGTGCCACTAATCCTTTGACTCCAGGCCCAGTCCCTTTCTCACTCATTAGGCCTGAAAGGCATTTTATTCTGGCATGGATGATAAAAGAAAATCTAAAAATACGGCTGTGTTGTTGTACGAGGGCAGAGCGTTGCCTGTTGTTTGAACACAATGCCCTTTGGTTTGTTTTGTTGCACCACCCACAACTCAAACATTAGGGTGTTTGTGCCCGCATTGACATGCGGCCAGGTTTTCGCAGTCTTGTGCCAAAACTAACTGCCTGTATCCTTGCAGGGATGGACCGTGAAAATGCTGCTCGGTTCGTCCTTCCTCGCGTTTGTACGCAGCCGAGCAGGGAAATCATCCCTTTTGTCATTTTTGATCGCAGAGAGAAGTGCGACGCCACAGCATCTCAGCTCAGCTGCGTTTAGTTCGGGTGCGAGTCTATAGCGCAAATCACAACTCGGTAATCTGGGCTCGAACACGAGCGGAAAGAGTAATGGTTCCTCTGTATGCCTCGTCGTTTCGGCTCCCTTCTTAGGATGCAGGCCGGCTCCTTTGTAGTCACTTCATTATGTAAAAATGATAATTATGCCCCAATGGAAGCCTCACCAAAATGTATCAGAGCCCTCATTCACATCCGCTGATAATCACGTCGTGACTGTCATTTGGAAATTTTCATTTTCAGAAAGTGTTTAAGCGAGACTCCCACACTGCAAATGAGAAAATAAGCAAACTTAAATTCCCTCACACCTCCTTCCCCCCGGAGATACTTTTACCTCTCAGGCAGCAACAGAAATTAATCATTTAAAGGGGCCGCACACCTCAAAATCACATTTACATATTTTCATCCTGGCCTGTAGCCTCACACGTGCATCGACATCATTTGGTGTGAGTTTCCCAGTTTTTGAGAAACAGAGACGGCTGCTGTTTCCTTTAATACAGCTGAGCTACATGGCACTTTGCTGTCAGGCTTCAAGCAACAAAAACCTCAAAGGGCTCATTCTACAGAAACATTTTGGCAAAAGGTCTTAAAATGTGTTTCTTTTTCTAACATCGAAGCTTAGACCAAGTTACAGATTTGTTTTTGCACATTTACTCCACGTGCTGCCTCTGCTGCTCCTTTCACAGGCCTCTGGAGTCACACAATAACAAATGAGTAAATTATCCTTCACTTTCAGTTTTGGTGACTTTATGATATTTGAAATGAAAATATCTGAAGGACCGTTAAAATGAGTAATGCAGCAGTCCTATCTTACACTTTACCACATCAGCCCAGCAGAGCGCTTTGCAGTCAGACTGCTGGCTTCCTTGTGGTTGTCAGAATGGGAGGCAGACCTCCAGCTTTCAGGCCTCACTCCTATGCAACCAGCTGCCAGCTTGGATTCAGAAGGCGGACTCTCTCCACTTTTAACTCAAAGCATTTTAGTTTTGGGCTCGATCAGGTGACCCTTAGTTATCAGATATCTTCAGTGTTCACTAAACGGTCTCTCTAAACCACATTGTGCCTTTCGCCCTTTCCTCCCACCCCCTTGTGGTTGCAGCAGATGGACGCCTCTCCTCGAGCCTGGTTCTGCTGGATGTTTCTTCCTGTTGGGTTTTTACTTCCCACCGTCACCAAGTGGTTGCTCACAGCGGTTCACATAATTCTTGGGGTATTCAAATCTTGCTTTTGCTGTGGTGTGAGGATCCAGTGTTTTAGCCACCCCACGTTTATTTTCTGAAGCAGAAGTTGTGTTAGTGATAATAAAAACTGAATTTCACTCACCAACACTGAAGCCCTAATGTCTTGGATAGTTTATGCCACACAGAGTAATAATGTTGGTCAGATGGTCCATTAAAAGTGGTCCAACAGTGCAAACACAGTTTAATGATTCAAATTATTGGATGAAGTCTAGCAGATGCTGAACTTTGACCAACTCAATTATCCATTTAAATGAGCTGTAAAATACTATGAAACTAAAAAAACCCTAAAATTTAGACTTACCCGCAGCAGCAGAGCCAAAACTACTGATAGAGGCCAAACTGTATTTTGTACCAGGCTCTCTCTGCTGTAACGTTTAGGATCAGAGTTGGTGGGGGGTCGACGCCCTTTTGGAGCCAGCCTCGAGTGGCTCCTAGTGGTTCTGCAGTTTTACCTTCACTGCCGAGCTCCCGAGGGCGCCGCTTAATTGACAGCTAACAGTCTGCAAACCTTGTTGTGAGACGTTTATGTAGGAACTACTGTGTTTCCACTCAACTCCATCCATCAAGCACAGAAAGCACTCAGCTGACTGATATTACAGCTCAGCTGATGGGTGAATCATCAGTGTTTACATCCCGTCAATCCCAAGGCTCTCCATCTCAAGCTGTCTGCACAGCGATACGGTTGGCGGGTGTATCCGAGTGGAAACTGTTTCTACAATAAACTGCTCATATGATGGTTTGTTTTGTGTTTTCTTGAGTCATCAGCCATGATTTCTGGAGCGACACTACTGCTACATTTTTCAGATGCATTTCTGGCACTCTGAGCACCGCAAGGCGAGTTCCATCGAGATTCATTATGTTCAAGAGAGGCAGGCATCTCCAGAACCGGGCGACTCGCACCAAAACAATGTGCATGGGTAAACAGCACTAGAGGCTGGGAGCAAAATATGTAAATAGGGTTTTACTGAGAACTGTCCCTTTAACTTTAAAGATGTTTTTGTTTACTCCATATCAAAGTTACGGCTTTTAGGAACGGGAAGGAAAATAAGACGTGACTGAGTTGGTCACACATCTTTTTAGTCACATCGTAGAGCTTTGAACTCGAGGGCGAATCCACACACACACACACACACACACTTAGATAATGACCGTATTAGAGGATAAATGGGCACTTGGTACTGCAGTAGCCTTTCAAGTGTGCTACAGGGAGGATCAGCAGACGTGCTACTGGCCAAATTATCATTCCAAAGTCTGAGAAGTAGCAAAGTCAATGACAGATTAAACTCAAACTGAGTCCACAGAGTGCTGCTCGTTGTACACTTGAAATTAAGCAGCAATTGAGTCGAATGTTTAAACTTCCAAAAACAGAAGCACAAAGTACTCTGGCTTACTCATTTCCTGTTCTACCTTTGGCTGTGGCGTGGCCTTATAGGAAGTGGAAAGAAATGACCCCAAGTTGAATTGTTTGTCAGTCAGATGGGTTTGTTTTCATAGTTTCCTAACAATGCTGGGAGCTGGGGGGGTGGTGTGTGTGTGTGTGTGTGTGTGTGTGTGTGTGTGTGTGTGTGTGTGTGTGTGTGTGTGTGTGTGTGTGTGTGTGTGTGTGTGTGTGAAAGAGAGGATGTAAACAGAGGGACTAGAGGACTGGGAAGCAAAGAATAATTGTAAAGGGAAGGGTTTTCTAGAAACTGTCCCTTTAACTTTAAAGATGTTTTAGTTTACTCCATATCAAAGTTACGGCTTTTAGGAACGGGAAGGAAAATAAGACGTGACTGAGTTGGTCACACATCTTTTTAGTCACATCGTAGAGCTTTGAACTCGAGGGCGAATCCACACACACACACACACACACACACTTAGATAATGACCGTATTAGAGGATAAATGGGCACTTGGTACTGCAGTAGCCTTTCAAGTGTGCTACAGGGAGGATCAGCAGACGTGCTACTGGCCAAATTATCATTCCAAAGTCTGAGAAGTAGCAAAGTCAATGACAGATTAAACTCAAACTGAGTCCACAGAGTGCTGCTCGTTGTACACTTGAAATTAAGCAGCAATTGAGTCGAATGTTTAAACTTCCAAAAACAGAAGCACAAAGTACTCTGGCTTACTCATTTCCTGTTCTACCTTTGGCTGTGGCGTGGCCTTATAGGAAAAGTGGAAAGAAATGATCCTTCCGTCAAGTTGCAATTGTTTGTAGGTTCAGATGGGTTAGTTGTGCTTTCATAGTTTCCCTACAATGCTGGGCCGCGGGGGCGGTGGGCTCCGGTGTGTGTCGTGTGTGTGTGTGATATAGTGGGTCGTGGGTTTGTGCTGTGTGTGTGTGGCGTGTGGGTGGGTGGTCGCATGGTGTGTGTCTGTCTCGACTAAATCCAGGTCAGCTGCAGTCAGATGACCCTCCTGATCGGGTCAGAAACATCCACCATCCAGATAAGGAGATGGTGATTAAGACAAAAATAAAAAGACAGGAAATGTATCAGTTTTTTAAAAAAGCATTTTGTATTAAATTTGTTGTGTCTGGATACAGAGAACGCACAAACACAATCCTATGTACACGAGTGAAAATAAAAACACTCACCACAGTCACAAGAGTGAAAATGCAAGAAGAAAAGCACGTTTGAGTAAAATAAGTGCGACTGTTTCCAGGGCTCGTGCTGCTTTTTGGTGGATTTCAGAAGGAGTGAGATTGAAACTCGCCCTGAGATGAGGAGGATTTGGAGAAAATTGCATTTAAAGACAATTAAAGGATTTACTTCAAAGCCTTCCCAAAATGATGAGGCTGGGCTTAAATGAATCTAACAAATGAGAAGTCATCTCACAATTAAACCGGCGCAGGACTAAAATGACAACAGCCACCACCTCGGTCTTCATTTTCACCATTAAGGGGTTAGAACGATCACGTTCACACCATTTTCTGAAGTGTTGTCCTGGAAAAAAAAAAAAAAAGAGTGCTTTTTAAGTAACAGCAGTCCCTTCTCTCCTCTCTCTTTGGCAGAGCTGCTGCAGAAGAAGTTAAAGTTTCAGCAATCCTATCTGGGAATGCACAGCGCTTATTACACGGCTCAATTTCCAATTCTCTCACAGGT